CCTATCTACTCACTTTGAAGATGAGTTTTAAGCACTAAGAATGACTGATTTTTGATAGAAGAGGAACTGAAGTTCTTATGAGTAAGTTACTTCTCACTGCCCCTCAAAATTTCCTCCTCTGTAAATAAGGGTTTGGAGTAAATGGTGGATTTTGATCTGAGTTTCAAGGCACCTCCCAATTCTGTGGAAAGGTCTGACACAGGGACACTTGGGAGGCATCCCAGTTACTATCACACACCTTCTGTGGGGGCGGGAGGGAGAGTATTCAGGAATGAGGGCCCTTTGAGCAGCCCAAGCCCCAGGCTACACCATGGCTTCAGTCAGAGCAGCTAGGCTGGGTTTTAGATTTAGTGTTTTCGTGTGTCTTGGTCTGTTTTCTTTTTCTATTAAAGAACACCATAGATTAGGTAATTTAAAAAGAATAAAGATTTGCCAGTCTCATGGTTTTGAAGGGTAGGAAATTTGAAATTGGGCAGTTACTTTGGTAAGTTCCTTTGAGCTGGTGGGGAATCTCTCCTGAATGCTGAGGACATAATGTGACAAGAGGGCATGCATGTAAGAGACAGAGCCAAACCACGGGTTATGGTAGCCCCACTCTTGGGAAAATCCACAGACCCACTGCCAGTCTCTTCATGAGGGTAGAGCTCTCCTTGCTCAGTCACCTCTTACATTTCTCACCTCATAAGACCTTAAAATGGAAACTAAATTTCAACATGAGTTTTTATTTTTGTGTTGGGGGGAATTCAAGTCATAGCGCCATGCTGTTTGCAAAGGGGAATTGTGCAGCTATTTATATTTTGAAAACTCCGGGATAGCATTATTTTAAAACTCATTTTCTGCTCACTGAAAGGATGTGTCTGGTCTTTCTAACTAGCTTATACATTTTAAGAGAAGATAAATAAATTCATATTCAAGATCTTTGTATGTGTCAGGTGTTTTGCCAGATCTTTTTTCCTTGCTACTGCTTTTGCTTCACATAGCAGCTCGACAAGACAGGGATTGTTAACCTTACTTGAGAGAGGCCACAATCTGGGGCTTAGAAAGTGACTCACTCAAAATCACTTGTTCTGCAGTTGGGGGAATTGAATTTATAGTGGTGCACCGGGCCTCCATCTGGTAACGAGAGGCCCTTATCTGCTGGAACACTGTAACCATGTGAGCATCTCATAGTACTATCTCAAGGTAGGTCATTTAACTCTTGGTCAAGAGATCTTCTGTGTTTCTGCCTTGGTAGGTTGTGAATACAGAATTTTCTTTTCAACTGCAAAAGTTGTTATAGAAAAAGCCTGTGGCAGGAGATTCTGAGGCTGAGAACTCTACAGCAGGATGAAAAATACAGCAGGATGGGAGAGGCAGGGTCAAGGTCAAAGCAAATCTCTGTTATCTCTTTGTAGAGGTTTTTGCAATCTTTGTTTTTGGTTTCTGGCATCCACTCCTATTTCCTGTTGGAGAACTCTCTCCTTCATTTGATGTTGGAAGAGCGCTAGCTTCAGAAAAATGAAGGCTTCCATCTTGGTTCCTTGGTGGCCATGCTGTGGTGTGTGACCTCTCATCAGACCATTGGGTGCCTCCTCCTGAGTTTTTGCCTTGAGAAGTGAAACAGGATAAGGACCAATTAGAATTTATGCTTGGAAGCCTCTGTGGAGGTTTCTAATGGTAGCCTCAGCAGTGACCTCAGTTAGCAGTGAGGTTTGATTATCCTCTTCAAAGATGGCTATTTTATACTTCCTGATCCTTAAACATATAGTTTTCTTTTCATCTTAAGATGCACAATGGGTTCTGCCAAAAGTAACAAAACTTACTACTGCAGAGTTTCTGCTGTTCTTATGTTCTGATATGAAACTGGGGAGAGTGCCCACGCATCTACTCTCTTGTGTTGTGCTTTGTCTTCTAGTATGAAAAGAGCACATTTCTATTTTACTGTCCCTTTGTAGTCTTTACATCAGTTAGGTTATGCTGCAATAACAAACACAACCTAAATATTAGTGGGCTTAAACAACAGTGATTAATTGCTCCCTTGCAATTTGTCCACTAATGATCAGCAGAGAGTTGCTCTGTTCATTGTAGTCCATCAAGGACATAGGCAGGTGGAATACCTGCAGGTTATGAGGAAAGAGGGCCTGGGTGGGTCTTCACCAGGAATTAAATGCTCAACTTGGAAGTGATACACGTCTTTTCTATTTCCACTTCACTGGCCAATACTAATCACATAACTCCATTCAAACACAAGAGACCCAGGAGTACAATCTACCACGTGCCTGTATGTATTTGTGGAACACAACCTTCACAATCTTCAGACTCTGGCCTTTTCTGTAAGGACTTAAAGATATTAAGGAATGGCCAGTTCCCATATCAGTCTCTTCATCGTTCTCCTTTCCACTCATAGGTGAACTTGACTAGAATTTCTTCCTCTTCCTGTCGAATTCCACTACACAAACACTGCTTTATTCATGGCCCTTTGGATGTTCATTTTCCTGCCTCACTCCTGTCAGAATTTCAAAGTCTTTCAAAAGAATTCAACTTCTCAGAATTTTGAGAAACAATACAGACTTGAATGAAGATTTTGGAGGCGGAATATTGGATGGTATGTTGCTGAGATGTCTATGTACCAGAATTAGGTCTTTGTTTTCATAGTTAGATCCCAATTCAGGACCTGACTTTAAAATTTCCTTGTACCCATCAAGTCCCACATGACTTGTTTTGGTAAATTTATGTGTTAGAAGTGAAGTGATTTCTTTATTTAATTATCTTGTTTTGTGGTCCTGGAGATTGGGGCCTTGTGCATGCTAAGCAAGTATTCTACCACTGAGCTACGCTCGCAGCCCAATGTATGTAATTTCTGAGCATAATTTTTAAAAAGTGGTGTGCCTTCCCCAATGTCTTGTTTACTTTCCACCAGCTGAAAGAAAAAACTCAAAGGCCTTAGGTTTGGCACATCCACAGGATAGAAGCCATCAGGAACTCTTAATTACCACATTACCGTAACTGACATAGGGATTCATATCATGTGCCACTCAGCCAAGAGTTTAAGAAACTCTTCTTAGTGATTTTCCTTCTCAGAAGTCCATATCTGGAAAAGCTGGTAACTCTCCCCCACACCCAGTCCTTTGCCAGGTACAACACAAGCTTCCTGTTCCATTCTTGGTTTTCTTCCTTCCCCCCGGACTATAACCTTCCAGTGGAATTGCATTTTTCTGACCAATCTTTCAAGTAAAGCTATTCTGTCACAGTTCCTGAGCCTGAACTTTATTTCTGTACTCAAGAAAAAAAACTCAGAAAATGTCCATTTATCAAGATCCATTATTTGAAGAAATTTGAGAAACCATCTTGAATTCCTCGAACCTGACTTTTGGATTTAAAACTGTTCTAAAAGAATCATCAACTATTTCTTCCTCACATGTGACCTGTTGACTCCAGTGGCATGTCTGGTGAGGATTTTGTATTCTTCATCTGGTGCATTTTCTGATGTGGAAGAACACATACACGTGGAGTGACAGACACAGCATCAACCAGGGAACTAGAGGACAGGGCTCTAGGCCCAGCTCAGGCCCTTAGCAGCCCTGTGGCCAGTGGTGGGCCTTCCTCTTCTCTGGTTTCTATTTACAAAGCTGAGACCAGCAGAACTCTTTCCACTCCTGTCCTTCCCACACTTTTCATGTGTTCTTTGTTTGTAGCGTGGCCAACACTTGACCCTCTCCTAGATCTTTTCCCAAACACCAAAAGGACATAATGCTAGACCCAAACTTAAGATGTGGACTCACAGAACATGGTTATGTTGACACATATCAGCTTTATTGCTTTAAGAGGAACGTGCAAGGACACTTAAGTTTTTTTTTTTTTTTTTTTTAGTTGTTGGACCTTTATTTTCCTCACTTATTTGTATGTGGTGCTGAGAATTGAACCCAGTGCCTCACACGTGACGTAAGCACTTTACCACTGAGCCACAGCCCTAGTCCCCAGTCCCCAAGGACACATTTTTTTTTTTGTTGTTAGCTTTTTAAAAACTTCAGTCATTTTTTTTTTTTAGGTGTCTTGGAGAAACAAAACTAGAAAACTTGTCTTTGTATATTTCTCTCTCCTTTGCTCCGACACACACAGGCTGGCTGCCTGTGGTTTTTGTTAACTTAGGCATGCTTTTGGTGAGTGACACTGATACTGAATGGGGCTTCCCAAGATAATAGGATGAATGAAGTGGGGAAAAAAATTACAAGGAGAGAAAAAACTTCTCAGAAAACTTCTAAGGAAAAAGTTGCTGCCTCACCTGGGCTGTGCGCTCCTGCCTGTGGCGGCCACTGCAGGGAATGGTCTTAAAAACTCTGGAGAGACAGAGCCTCCTGAGCACGGCTGGCATCAGTGAGACACCTACAGCTACAACTTCATTTCACAGCTTGACAAAAATTAAACATAAAAGACTCCTCCTGCTCCACAGAAATGGAAATGTATGCTGTTTGAATTGAGAAGAGCTACCTCTAAATTGAATCGCTGACTTCCAGCCCTGACTTCTGAGTAATGGTCCACATACCACATTGGAGGCAAGATTCAACACAGCTCCTGGTGCATCATATGGGATCCCTGCTTGTCTGCATGACCCCAGGAAGGCCTCTCACCACTGTGGTCCTCACTCTGCAGGGAGTCGTATATTCCAGTAGTGAGGCTTTGTGATCCTGGAGCAGATCTCTGCAAACTTTTTTGGCCTTGTAGGGTTCTGCCCAAGGTGGACTAGCATGAGACTACATGGACAGGAGTAAGTAGAGATGGGCTCCTTCCTGTGTGCTTCCTACCTGGTTCCTGTGACCCCTGCTTCCTCTGGTTTTCCTCCTTGAGTCCTGTGGACTTCCTTGTTTTCTATAGACTTCCTCCCTGTTTTCTGTGAACTTCCTTCTTGATTCCTGTGGACTTCCTACCTGCTTCCTGTGTTCCAACTTGCTGTCTGGGTTTCCTACATGCTGCTTAGCTTTTGAGCTATGCATGCTGCCACTTCCAGGCTGTGAGGTCATGAACTCCTTGATCCAGGGCTGCATGTTTTCTTTATTTTGGTAAAATAGATATAACATGAAATTTACCATTTTAACCATCTAAAAGAACAAAGTAGGGAGCATTCAGCACATTCACAGTGCTGTGAAACTCCCATCATTCACAGCTCTAAACCATTTTATCATTGTTCAAGGATATCCCGTACTTACTAAGTAGGCACACGGTTTTCCTTTGTCTTCCCAGCCCCTAGTAACCACTAACCTGTGGATCTGCCCATTTTGATATTTCATGCAAGTAGGATTACACAGTATGTGGCTTTTTCTGTCTAGCTTCTTACCCTTAGCATGAGACTTTCCAGTTTCTGCATGTTTTCCCAGGTCTCAGTGCTTTCTTCTTTCCAAGGCTGAGTATTTCACCATTGTATGGATGGACTCCATCTTGTTCATCCATTCCTCTTCAGGTGGACACCTGAGCTGTTTCTGCCTTTTGGCCATGGTGAATTGTGCCTCTGGGAACATGTGGGTACTAGTTGTTGCTTGACCATGTTTTCCATTCTTCTGGAATAAAAGCTACTGGAATACAAGGGTAGTTTGGTGAAGAACCATCCAGCTGTTTTCTCTAGGGTTACATTTTGGTTCTTGCTTCATTTCTTACCTCGGACTAGGGCAGAGTATATGAAATGCCAATCAACCAATCTATGCATGCATCCTTAAAGGCATTTATTTGCTTGACTAATCTTTTTCCCTTCCTACCCCTTTTCCCCTCTTTCACTCATACATATTGAAAGATTTGATTATAAAGCTTTTACAGTTAGGCTTTATATAGAAAATAATAAATTTTGTGGTGCTTCCTCACTCTTAAGTCATTTTATTTGAGTCATTAATTTGAGATTTAAACCAAACACTTGTATAAACGGAAAGAAGCTGCTGATAATTCTAATACCATAATACGGTAACAATTTCTGCTTTTAAATTCTGTTCCAGTTGGTCCCTATGCATACATTTTATAGACTTACAATCAGAGTATACATACATACATATATATATAGATAGATAGATAGATAGATATTCTACATTTCTTAATTAATGCTTTTCCAGAAAATTTCCATGTGATATGTTTTTCATCATTATTTTAATGGCCCTGTGATACATTGTCAAGCTGATTTCTCATAGCAGACTTAGCTATTCCCACAACTTAGATATTTGATTGTTAGCAATTTCCCAATATTAGAAATA